ATGATTTATTCAAGGTAACAATAAAATTGAAAACATAAAAAATTGAAAACAATAACTCTTAAACGGTTGGCCTTGGCAACTCTCTCGGTTTCATCCTTCTTCTTGATGACATAGCTGGAAATACAGGGACATAAAATTAGTTTAATGCACCACAAAAGAGAAACATAATAACTTCATCAAATTGCTTAAGCGATCTGCTTGTCAAATCTGTATATAAGAAAAGATCGCTTAGGCGACCTTACGTTGCTAAAGCGATTTGGTGGCCACCAGATCTGATCTGAGTAGTAATCGCTTAAACGATCTGTTGTTTAGATCTGCAAATAGCGATCTTATGTCGCTTAAGCGATCCGATCTTATCTGTATATTGCTTGCTTCCTTGCTACTGATCAATTCGAACCTAATTTTATGGATCTGCATGTGATCGATTCTGGCAACTGCTTCTCTTGTGGCCAGCTAGCTTGCAAATTGAGCACTTATTCATCCTCCGAGGAACCTCAGAGACTAATGGAATACGGTTAACTCTTTTTCTCCCCTTTTGTCTTCTTGAATGGCGGATGGATGATAATGTGAACCGACTTTGGCGGCACCACCCACTGCTCTTCTGGAAGAACTAGATATATCGTTTCCGAATAAACTAGCATGTAGTGATTTGCCATATAGAGAAGGGAGCAAAGTTTCATATAAATTCTTGAACCAAAATCCGGCTTTCGTTGGTGTTTCAGTGTTGCTAGTGCATGAGGACAAGGTAAACATTGAATGTCAAGCACTTTACAACTGCAAGTTTTACTAAGAAGGTTAACAAGGGTATCCAGACCATAACTGTGCACAATGAACTCTTTTGCATTAAGAGGATCGGCAAACAGTACATTTGATAATTCCATATGTTCTTGCAATAATTTTTCAACTGATGGAACAAGGGTTATGGTAAAATTATCTGACTCCGTACGACGCTCTTGGAACCACAATGACAATGTCCTCTAGATTGCATAAAAAAGGGCAACTATTGGAAACTTTCTTTATATTAACAACTTCGAATTTATGGACTCGGCTATGTTCGTGGTCATGACATCAAACCTTCTTCCAAGAAAGTAAGCTCTACTTCATCACTCGAAACCAACATCATGCTTAAGATACTTAGTAATTCTATCATCCTTGATTCGGATTTGCCGGAAGTGCTCCTCGAACTCATCAACTCGATAAGCTTTTACTGCCATGTAGTATGTCTAAAGGAGGTCAGCACACTTAAACTTTTGTTTTATGTTCTCACCAAGGTGCCTCATACAGAATCCGTAATGTTCTTGAGGGTAAATAGTGGCAATCCCTTTTTTTATAGAGTTGTGCCTATCGGATATTATGCACAACTCGTCACTATCAGACACTATCATACGTAATTGTTGAAAAAACCAAGTCCACGATTTGTCATTCTTAGAGTCAACCACACACCATGCAATTAAATATATATGATTCTCGCTGTCTTGTGCCATGGCCACAAATAATGTACCTCTATACTTTCCTGTCAAAAGCAACCATCAAAAGCCAACACCTTTCTCATGTTTACAAAACCCCTTATAGTAGAACCGTAAGCAACAAAAAAAATTTTAAACCTCATATTCTTGTCCCACTTCAAAGTCATCTTGCTACCTTGGTTTGTCAATTCAAGCATATAACGGTACGCTTCTAATACTGTGTACTTGTGATTCGACGTGCCTCTCACAAAATCTTGTGCATGTTGTCTTCTTTTCTAGCATTTCCAGTAACTAACAATACATCCCAACTCTGTGCGCGCAAGTCTCTGAATGTCTTTAGGAGATGGACTTTTCCCTTTAACGAACTGACTTTTGACAAATTGTCTAATAACATTAGCGGAGGCTTGTCGATGCTCACCTAAAATATGTTCCAAACCATATGTGTACTCACGGGTATATATCCTAAGAATAAATATTCTAGACTCCGCCAACCTTCTGCAATAAACTAGCCACTTGCACTTTCGGTCACGACATGCAACCGTCACAACCGATGAATAAGACTTTTTGGTGATGAACTCAAAATTACCTCTCACAGCAACAAGTTTTAGCTTCCTCACCACTTCCTCTTTGTTGTCAAATAAATACCCTATGCGTAACTCCGATCCATCCGTAAAAACATGAGTTGATTCACTATTACCTGTAATTGCCCCCTCTGAACAAAGACTATAGTGTTTCTTCCTTACAAACTACACCTTCTGCATAATCTGTATTTAAAGGAATCTTTACATCTGTGCAAACATGTACGGGGTCCTCCTCATCAACATTTTTATTCTACCGCACATGAACAACCTCTTCTATAGTGTCCTCCTCACCACCCAAATCACTGCCTACTTTTGATTTTTCAACTAAGAAATCAATGCCCTCGTAGTTCAAATTAAAACCAGCATTCTCTCTGCCAACTTTCTCGTTATCTCCTTCCTTTGAACTAACTTCCAATGGTTTATCTACAAAAGAAACCCTTAAAATCAACCTCGAACCATTATTGGCCACATCAATCATATATAACTTCACACCTTCATCCAACTTTAATATAACAGGAGGTACCTTATAATGTTCAAGAACTCTGCTTAAAATATACTTCACAACTATATCCCTACGTGAGCAACTCAAATCACCTCTTCTAATTATTTCATCAATCAACTCATAAAAACTAACCTCTGTGCTCACAACAATTGGTATAACTTCTTTGCTTTCCTAATCCACTTCCAGCAACTTTCTTCCTCCACCTACTCACCAAAATATTCAACACCCAAAACAACTTGTCCCATGTCTAATAATAGCCAAGTACCTATAATGCAAGAAAAAAATATTATTAACTGATGTATTAAGGGTTGAAAGATTTTAAAAAGCATCTGCAGAGTCACTTGAGTGATCTGGTGTATCACTTAAGCGATCTGGTATATTGTTTACTGGATCGCTTAAGCAATCTGGTATAAATAAGCCTGATTGCTTAAGCGATCTGCTGCCATACACCAGACTTATAATAGATCGCTTAAGCGATCTTCTGCCATTTACCTGATCACTTGAGCGATCTGTTGCCATATACCAGACTTATAGCAGATTGCTTAAGTGATCTTCTGCCATATACTTGATCGCTTAAGCAATCTATGATCTGCTGCATTCTACTAGACATACCAGATCGCTTAAGCGATCCATCATATCTATAACACATTTTCAGTCATCTCTACCTACAATCAGTGCCACCACCCCCAGCTACCCACAATGCAAGAAAATATTCAACAAATTTCACTCTTTTTAACTTGCATTACATCAAACACAACCTAAACAACTAAATCAAGATCAAGATCAAAATCATAACCCAAACCTAATCTATCATTAAATCTTTGTAAATCAAAATACAAAATGGAAAGGGGAGATACACATACCTGGACGAATGTCAGGAGAAGAATGAGGAGGAGCATATGTGGCGGAGAAGATGTTAATGGCGAAGGAAGAAGATAGTGTTAATGGCGGGAAGAAGAAGATGTATAGGAAGGCAGAATAAGAAGATGTACAAGAAGAAGAAAATGTAGACGAAGCTTAGAAGAAACAACAACCAGGGGAGGGATGCGTTAATGGTGAGAGGAAGAAGAAGAAGGTGTTTGGGTTTGTTTGCAAGAATTTTGACTCTTTGGGGACATATTGTAGTTTTTAGACGATTACACAATACTTCATTAATCCTAATTAGCCACTAATCATGTTTAATTAACCTTAATCAATAATAAGGCTATTTACTTAACACTTTCAAACTGCATGGCCTTTTAATTAAATTTGAACTTGATTTGGCCTTTTAATAAAATGCCCCTAAGTTGCGCCAGATGGTAAGATAAAGTGAAAACTGCACTTGCCTTATTTTATGCAAATTTTCTTTTATACTTATTGTAGTTTATCAGAACCTTAGCCTCAAGTTTAATATATATACCCAAGTGTGGAACTCACTGTACAATGTACACACCAAGGAAACGACATGCAGTTTATCAGAGAAGATTATTTTGAGGTGGGAATTGAATTGATGAATAAGGTGTGTAAAATATTGATTTGAAATCAAAGTGAAGTTGGCTCAAGTGTAGCCATAATCACATAATTAATTGAGAGAAATGAGGGCCAGCATGCACTTGGGTTTGGGTTTGGGTTTGACTTTAATAGAAGTGCTGTCAATATTAAATTACTAAGAGCAAACAACATAATCCCACCCAAAGTTTGGGAAAAATCCCAAGTTGATACTCTTGGTCAAATTTATCCCGTTTTGCCACCCTTAATGTAACACTATTAATAACTGATGGATGTGACACAGTGACAGCAAGTAATAATGACTGCAATACCCTTGAACCTTCGACTTTAGATTATTTAGCAGATAAAAAACTAAATAGAGATGTAAAAAACCAAAAATGCCCCTATCTTTAGTTTATTTTCCAAATATAGTGAAATTACCCTAATGCCCCTAAACCGTTTGAAAGTTCAGCAACAATTGTTTGAATGTTGAGGGTTTAGCTGTATAACAGCAAAGTAAAATTTCTTAAAAATTGGCATACATCCTAAAAAGTTTTAATTTGAGCATAAACACATCCTACACAAAGCCAACATCAGAGATCATACTACAACCACACAAACTGAGTTAAACACTTTTGCATTGAACATATATATGAAAAATACATAATCTGGCCTTGAAATGTGATGATCAACAACCCAAAAAAAGAAAATTAAAGCTGCATATTACATCAAAAAATCCACTGCAACAGTCCTAAATCAATTAAACATTCACAATAGACAACCTAAATTATTTGCTATCTGTACAATATTATCACACCATATTTGTATACCAAGACTAACAAACAAAGTCATATGTACAACTTCCCCAAATTTCACCAAAATACAACAGCATGCTTCAACTCCACACATCCTAAAAAACCAACATTATGCTTCTACAATTTTATCACACCAAAAAACAACAACATGCTTCAACTCCACACTCCTTTAGTACCTAAAAAAAAAAAAAATCATAAAATCAATTTTAGAGGCTACCCTTGATAGTTTGAAGCAATGTAACAATGTTAAAATTTGAAGGATTGATGTCACACTAACCTGCTACCCTTGACAGTTGCTTCAATGTTGACATGTCTAACTTGTTGGGGCTGATAAAGCTTCTTCTCTCTAAACAAAGCAAAGAAAACAAATGTTAATGAAAGCAAATTCTATTACAAAAACAATACTAATCATGTTAAATAAAAGCTTTAAAATACCCTTTGATTCTTGTTGTTTGAATGATTTTGTGGGCAGCTCCTCTTGTTATGTCCCAAAGTTCGACAGATCCCACACCTAAGTGTTGCACCTTTGGTCATCCTTGGTTCTTCATCAACGTCCTTTTTTTTTTGGCCTTTTTGGGTCTCCCAACCTTGCTATGTTTGATAGGTGGATTCAGCTGTCTACCCCCAAGCAAGTTAGGCCAACTAAATGGGTCAGGTATGGGGTAAATGTGATTAACATATGTTTTTACGTATGAAGTGATCCTCAATGAAGAGTCCACATAATCCTTCATATTTCTAATGTTCCTAAAAAGCAAACAGTGGACTGCATGCACACAAGGGACTCTAGAAAGTTGCCACATTCCACAGTCACAAGTTTGAGGTTGAAGGTTTAAGATGTAACATCTACTGAGAAAGCAGTTGTTATCCACCACTTCAAACTCAGCACCCCTAGGCCAGATGACTTCAACATTCTTAGCAAGCTCAATTAGATCGTTGATTTTCCTATGTATATTAGAGGGAATAGTTGTGACCCTAGCCTTTGCCTTAGCTTGCATCTGTACCATAACCCTCCTCCTATGATGCTCTAACAAGCTTAGTATGGGTAATTCTCTATTCTCTCCCAACCAGCTACTGAAGACTTCACACATGTTATTTGTAACATGATCAGATTTGGAATCAAGGTTGAATGCATGCCTTGACCAAGATCTCACATCATTTTCAATCATCCACCTATGACCTTCTCTATCTATAGCTTTAATTTTTTCCATGGCTTGTTGAAAATCAATGATATTGGCAGCCTTACTAAAAGCCCAAAACAAGTTCCTTAACCTCAACCCAGGGAATTTTTTCCTAAAGTTAGCATAAACATGCCTAGCACAATGTCTAACACTAGCATTTGGCCAACAAGTCTGTATAGCATCCACCAAACCCTTCTGCCTATCACTCATGATAGTGATAGGTCAATGTCCCCTATAAACTCCTTCATCAAGGTCATAAAGTATCTCCATGATTCCTTGTTTTCTATCTCACAAATGGTAATTGCTACTGGGAAAATGCCACTGTTAGCATCCATAGAAACTACTGACAATAGTACTCCACCATAAGGCCCTTTAAGATGGTACCCATCCATACCTATAAAATGCCTACAACCCTTTGTAAACCCCTTCTTTTATGCTGTAAAGCCTAAGAAACACCTCTGAAAGTTTGGAATCCCTTCTAAAGTAACAGATTTCACATTATACATGGAACCTGGGTTGGTATGTTTGACAATGTGATCATATTTCAACAAACCAGCAAAGACTCTGCATGGAGCTTGTCTGACCTCCCCTTTGCTAGGTTATTAGCCCTATATAGTTTGGATCTAGACAACTGCAGATAGTGTTTCTTACCCAACGCATCTACCAATGGCTTAATTGATGAACCTTTTTGGGATCTGATGAAGTCTCCCATTTTTTCAGCCACCCAAGCACTTGTTGCCTCTCTATTATTATAAACCCTCATGCATGTATATGTGTGCCTATACTTCCTAATCTGAAAAGACACATCATCAGGCATCAAAGTAGCATATAGATGAAATAGACAGTTTGCTTGGTAACATTTGGCCTTAAATCTTCTTCTCTCATTGTGAATCTTCCTAACAAAAAACCCCCTCTGAATTACATAATCTCAAAACACCTTCCTAAAGTGATCAACTCCCTCAAACACTTGACCAACTTTGAAGTGGATTTTCCCATTATCCCCATATGTAAACTGTTGACCCTTCATGTGCCTGCTAAACCTAGTTACTGCATCTTCATCATCAATAGACCCTTCATATGAACTGTCCTCATGGTATTCAAACATTTCCCCCTGAACTTCAATGTCCTCTACCCCACCACTACCTTGCCCAGATTGATTTCCCTCAACCCCACCACTTCTCTACCCAATTTCAATTCCCTTTACCACCCTGCTTCCTTCCTAATTTCAATTCCCTCAACCACCCACTTTCTTGCCCATCCTGCCCACTCTCATGGTCTTCTTCATGATCACTTTCAATACTCCAAAAGAACTCATCTAGAATACCCTCTTCAGCTTCCTCACTATCCTGCCTCACAAAACCCTCATTGGCCTCTGGTTGGGCTTCTAATAAAGTTATAGGTTCAACAAAGTCCACTGGTATGGCTTTTACATAGACCCTTATCACTCGCTTGCCAAAACTCTTATATTGCTCAAATATGAATTCCATATCATCGTCCTCTTCCACTATGTCTCTAGCCCTTGATAAGGGTAGCTCAACCTCCACTTTAAACTTCTCATAAGGGTTCATTTTTACAACCTCATTCTCTGAAGCCACACATCGTTTCACATCTTTAATAAAACATATGTAACTATATTCATCCGAATCGACATTTAGTATATCATATTCTAAACTAAACACTTCAATTTTAAAGTCATAGGAATTTGGTTTTAGCCTGCATAAGCAAACACAACCAAGCAATTATTAAAAAAAAATAAAAACTCAACTGCCACCGCCCTACAACAGCCATCACCACCCTACCACCACTAGACCTCCACCCAAGGTACGTGGCATTGTTACACTAGATGTTGTCAATCATTGTTAGGCAGCATTTAAGACAGTTACTAGTTTCCAGCCAATATACCAAAAAATCACCCTAACGCCACCATCAACTCACCACTACTGTACTACCATACACACACCATCACCAATACTAACACTGCCATGCAACACCAATATCCTAAACCCCACTACACCAAAACTTTAACCCTAATCCTAAAACCCCTTACTACCATTATCACAACCTTACCACCACCAGACCACCACCTTAGGTACGTGGCATTGTTACACTAGAAGTTATCAACCACTGCTAGGCAGCATTTAAGACAGTTACTGGTTTCCAACCAATATACAGAAAGTCATCCTAACACCACCGTCAACTATACCACCATACACACACCACTACCAATACTAATACTGCCATGCAACACCAATATCCTAAACCACCACTACACCAAAACCCTAACCCTAACCCTAACCCTAATGCTAAAGCCCCCTACTACCACCATCACTATCCTACCACCCACTAACAACCACCCTAACAACATTATATAATCACCATCACCATCACCAACCGACCACCAACATACCTCTATTGAACCAGCAAACATGCACCACTAATCCATCTACCACCACCAATAACCACCGTAATACCACCACCACCAAACACATAACAAAAAAACCAGTCCACAGAAAAATCTAGCACAAACCATATACAAAAAATACGTAAATCAACTGTCGATATACCTTGCCACAGACCACGTTGCCATATCACCCTTCTCCTTGAACTGTCATCTTTCTTTATCTATTGTTTTTCTTCCTCTAACCGACGAGACTTCTCTTCTCGATGATGGCTCGTATTCCTCCTAAGGTTGTGTCTGCGTGACCGGTATGGTGGTTTTGAGTTAATGGGTCTGGGTCTGGTTGTTGTTTCGTATTCATCTGTTTACGGTTTTCGCCAAATGCCACTGACAAAGATGATAAGCGTACGACTGATTTTGTTCATCTTGTTTGGGAGTCAAAGTAGAAAAACCAAGTGGCAAGGATTCGGCGAGGCCTAAAAGGGATGGCGTTAGCTAGAAGGATGATAAGGAGATAAGGACATTCATTGGAATATTGATTTTGTTCATCTTGTTTGGGAGTCAAAACGGCGGTGAGAGACCATATCTGTGTTTGGTAAGCTTACGCGTTCGACTATGGGATGGGAAAAAGGTCAAAAGGATTAATGGCTGCGATTTTTGTTGCATAGGCAATGAGGTTTGTGGGTTAATTTTTCAGAAAAAAAATCTGCATTTTCGTTTTAAAGAGAAAGTGTAAGAGTGTTCAGAGATTTTTTTTTTTGGCGTCTGATTTCTGCAATAACTCCAGCCGTCATACATTATCCTTCTTTACACATTTTGCAACAATTCCCCAGGCTTCTTTATTATTTGAATTTAATTTGCAACATTTCCTTAGGCTTTTTTATTATTTGAATTTAATTTGTCTTAAATGTTGTTTTTACCCTTTTGCTATTAAAACCAAGCGAACGGTGTTAGATTAAGAGTGGCAAAATGGGATAAATTGAACCAGGGGTACCAACTTGGGATTTCCCCAAACTTCAGGTAGGATTATGTCATTTGCTCAATTACTAATTGTAAATTAGCTAATACTCAGACAACAATTGGAATCCTATGTGAATTTTTGTTGCTAAGAAGCCACTAATTAATATAAAAAAAATCCAAGTTATAATGATTTTTAAGCAAGACTCAATCCATTATAGCTTAACAAAATTGCCTAATTAATAATTAAATTATTTCATTTTAATTCATTAGTTGGTGAAGAGGGATAGCTTAACAAAATTGCCTAATTAATAAAGTTAGCATCATGGAACCCCAATGATGTTGATGAAAAGCGGGTTTTCAATTAGAATTATTAAGCATTTTGTGAGAATAAATTCAAAGGGAACATTCCCTTAAAATACCTGAAAACAAGGATTTAATAATTATAAATTTCCAATACTTTGAAAAATAGCTAATTTTGTGGGTGGGAGAAAAATCCAAATATCTTTCTTAATTAGAGATTAAAGAGACTAATCATTACTAATTAATCAACGTTTGACAACTACTTAATTCTGAAAACTGCAGGGTGTATTTATCATTTCTGAAAACTATTAGGGGTGCAATTGTAATTTTAGAAGGGATTATTTGTCCTTTTTTAAAACATAGGGGGTAATTGATAACCGGTTCCGGTTCCAAATTAAAGGAACCGGCCGGTTCCGGCTCCTTTGATTTTGGGCAGGTACTTGGACCCGCCCACCCCTAGGGCCTGGGCCATGGTTCAGGCCCTCCTCCAAGGCCCAAGCATGGGACTGGTCCCAGGCTCGGGCTGAAACCCTTATTTGAATTTTTCAAATTAACCCTTGGCAAACTACCAAAAACCCCCAATTTTTTTTAAAACTTACAATAAATATGGGGGCAAGAATATATTTTACAAAAAAGAAATTGCAGGCTGACTGTTGGTTGCTCAATCCACGGTCACATGAAGGGGAAGCTTTTTTTTTTTTTTTTTTTTTCCATAACTTCTTACAACCCCCACACCCCCCACACCGCAACCTCTATTTTCTTCACAACTCAACTCTCAATCTATTCTCTTCTCTCAATCTCTCTACTTCAATTCTCAAATTCTTTTCAATTAAATTTAAATTTATATTTATTCATATTATTAGTTATATTATTCAATTTCTTTCATTTTAATTACTTATTATTTTACTATAAATTTATAATGGATTCCTAAAATTATGCTTTCGGAGGATTATCCCCAAATGAGTTTTACGTTCCATCCACTGAAGAAATGGAAGGGTTTGATCCATTTTCATCCTTTCAAGAGGTAGCAACGCCAATTCCACAACCACCAACGATTGGAACTGGGTCTAGCCAAACACAAGCAAGCTGCGACTCCATGGCCCAACCTTCAAAGAGGGATGTGTCTAAGGTATGACAATTCTTCACCAAATCAAAATGGCCAAAGCTAAATGGGTAGGGGGAAGAGACGTGCAGGGAATGTAATTTTTGTTCAACTGTTATCGGGGTTGAGAACAAGACTTCGACGATGCGGTGACACTTGGAGAAGAAGCACCCCCAACATATGCAGTAGTCCCGCCAGTCCGGTTTAAGTTCAACCGCACTACGTAGGCAAATTCAAACTCAACTTAATTTTAATCCACAATCCTCAACTCTCTCAACATGGCAAAACAATTCACTTATAGCATGAGAGCAAATAGCAAAATTCATATATGCTACAGACTCTCCTATTTCTTTATCTGAAAATCCTTATTTTGTTGAATTGATTAAAAATGCTTTTTGTCCAGAATTTACCCTTGTTAGTAGAGATATAATTAGAAAGGACATAATAAAC